CCAGGTATTAAAAACCTGGAATGTCTCCAGCAAACCAGAGCAAGTTGGTTACTCTCCCAGCAGAAGCTGAACAAAGAGCTGAGGGTCAGTTTATGACCTTGTAGGAAACGGTGGGCCTCTGTTTTGACACACAAAATTTTCCAACGGTCACTCTCTCCTGAAGGCCAATCAGACGGCAGTTTTCAGGGAAGCAATGAGGAAGGCCTGAAAAAGCAGGTGCCAGGGGAAAGAGAGGAGGGAACAGATTTGAAAGACTTCAGAAACAGGACTGGAACTGAAACTACAGCATCCGTGGGTGATTGGAAGTGGGAGGTGAGGGCAAGAAGGACTCCAGCATGATGGAGGCGTGGTGGATGAACTACAATGGCATTACAGGACGTGGGGACACAGGAAATCTGACCATCCCTTCAAACATGGTGTGTCCTCAGAAATTGTGAAGTGCCAGCCATGTCGAATTCTCTACTGAGAGCTTCTGTTGCTCCTGTTCAGCTTGTCCCTCTGCCCACGTGGAAAGACCTTCCGCACTCGGTGGTCATTCAAAGAGTTTCTTGCCATTTGTAGTTCTCCCTCTTCGCCAGCTGGTCTACCAATGTGTGTCTCAGAGAGACTTCCTTTTGGTGGTCATAAGCTAACAATAGTATAGAAAGTCTGAAGGAGTCACTAACAGCTACCCTATGCTGGTGACTGCTCTCAAAGTTCAGCTCACACTGGTAGCAGTGTGAAAGAAGTTTACTAAGGCAAAGTGGTTCCACAGGACTTGTTTCAGTTTCTGCTCACTCTAGCCACCCAAAATTTTTTTTTTCTCCAACAATTTTTTTTTGGAAGAGTTCGGATTACAAAAATGAAATCACATAGAGACAAGTAAATAAAAATATAAACATCACCAGAACCCACTATTGCAGGGATAGCTATAGTTGAAGCTGGGTTTCATTTCCCTTATTTCATATATGGAACCTAAAAGTACCAGATTTCACCAGTCTGTGAAGTAAAAATAAATTCCTCCAGCATCCACCTGAAAAGTTAGATTGATGCCTTCATTTTTCCCTGAGCTCCTCTCCCAGTAAATTTTGAAGAGTCACAGCCAGATTGGTCTCTGCGCAGCCATTTTGGTTTGCTTGTTACCACCAACCAAGCAGTGAGTTCAAACTTGCCTTTGAAGAGGACTCAGTAGTCCCTGATTTTTAGAGCTTGTTACTCACCATTTGTTTCTATTCCCATCTATAAACTACTTCCAGTTCTGCCAGCTAAATAGTACATTTTACAGACTAGGTAAGTGATTAGAGGCTCATTCATTTTCTGTATAAACTAGTCAAGAATAGATTCTGTGTTTGTAACTAAGGATGGCGATCATTACATAGATACTCTTTAAAATGTTTCATTGAGGGGCATCTGCCTCCAACTCAGGTCATAATCCCAGGGTCTTGGGATCAAGCCCCACGTCAGGTTCCCTGCTCAGCGGGCAGTCTGCTTTTCCTTCTTTCTCTCCCTCTGCTTCTGTTCTCTCGTTCCATCTCTCTCTCTCTGTCAAATGAATAAATAATCTTAAAAATTAAAATAAAATGTCTTATTGAGTCAAACTGTGTTCTTCTATTTAGGATGAGGTACTAAAAAGTTTTTGGAAGCTCTGTGGGTGTGGGAAGTCTTGGTTGATAGGTTTCACTCAGGTGATTTTGTAGGGAGAAGACCCGCAATTATCAGTATCTCTAGGTCTCTTCTTTTGGCCTGATAAAGAATCTGTTGAAAGAGAGGAACTTTCTAGTTTACTTCGCAGGCATTATAAGTTTAACTTCATCATTTTGGTGTAAACAATGAGAGGGATCAGGAATCCCACCCTTCAGCATGGATCCTTTCATAGAACCACTCTGTTTTAAGCCTTCGACTCTGTCCTGTATCCATAAGTGTACTAGATCCCACCGTGTAGCCTCTCCAGAGAGGAAACACCCGGTTTTCTGCTGGGTGAGGGAATAAGGAAAACTCAAGAAGTAGGGGAAAGAATCCAAGAGTCTGTAACTTTTCTATATGGACTTTCAACCAATTGTCCCTTTCCGGCTCCTTTTGTACATACACACACAGACTGTCACACACACATTGTCACACATGCTTTCAGGGTTATCTGGATGTTCCAATTCCCGAGCTTCTCTGACATTTCTGCCAAATCTGAACTTCTTCCACTGCTGGTTAAGAAGCTTTCCTTGGGTATGTTAAAGTCAGTTACCACTTTTTAAGCCTTTTTCTAGCTCCTGATTTTTTTTCCCTCTCTCTCCTCTTCCATTCCTTGTCCTTTATTATTTTCATGGAGGTTTGAGAAGCAGAAGTCAATTAGTATGTTCAATCCACTTTTTTAACTGAATGACTAATCCATTTTAATTGACAAATAATGTCCTATGCAATGGATCTTCTATAATTCATCTAGATGATAACTTACTTTTGGTTTGTATACTATTTCTCCCTTTCCGATATTTTGAATAATGCTGCTGTAGAGTAGATATGGGACTGGAGAAGCGGCTGTACAGAACGTCCAATCTGGCATGTTCCATATAATGCTACCAGTTAAGACTTTACTCTGGGTAATTCAGGATCTTCTGGATAAATCCTCAGTCTTTCAGAATTCTTCTTGCCCCCTCTAAATTAGTAGCTGAGACGTAAGGGATCAGGTAACTTATGTCCACATGATGGCAGGTAAAGGACCCCACCCAGGTTCCGGTCTGGTGGCTGTTCTCATCTTTCGACTTCATAGTGTAGAGTGGCAAGAGAAGAAGAGTGTCTGCTGCAGAATTTCACTTCTCCCTATGTAAATCTCTCCCCACTTGGGTAATCAAGACGGATGGGCCATCTTGCCTGATTCCATTTACCTCTTTTCCCATTATCCACTAGGACAGAAGGGTAGCCTTTCTTCCCTACTCCTCTTCATTTCTGTTTGGGATAGTATCCTGACACCTCTTTCCAGAGGTGGCATCCACCCTTCTTCTTTCCCTCGAGCTGTAAGCCTATAGTGGTTGCCAGAGATTATGGTTTATAGGAATGATAACCTTCTCTCTTCCCTATACCTCATTCATTTCTGTGTCTGAGTCCCTATTCTTTGGCCAGGTAACAAAGTGAAACTAATTCTGGGAATTTGCACTGGGGTCTCAAGAAGAGACAAGGCATAGGTGAGGGCTATTGGGCCTATATTCTTGTGCCTCAATTCTCATTCCCGACAAGTAACATATTTCCGATAACAAGGCTGCTCCGGGGCCAGTGACTCCACAAAGCAGTGCCATGCTTGGGACACACATTCTCTTTCCAAACACATCATCCAGCCCCTTCTCTATGGAATCTTACCACACCTCTAGTCTCAGCACCTATACACCTCTATCCTTCTCTCTTTCTTTATTACTCCTACTCCACCACACCCACCAACGCTCTCCTAAGGGCTGAAACTTTTAACCTCCTTAGAAAGAAAGACTTGGAGGGGCACCTGATTGGCTCAGTGGGTTAAAGCCTCTGCCTTCGCCTCAGGTCATGATCTCAGGGTCCTGGGATCGAGCCCTGCATTGGGCTCTGTTCAGCAAGGAGCCTGCTTCCCTTCCTCTCTCTCTGTGGGCCTCTCTGCCTACTTGTGATCTCTGTCTGTCAAATAAATAAATAAAATCTTAAAGAAAAAAAGAAAGACAGACAGACTTGGAAATTATTTGTTTTCCACTCAGCCCAACTATGGGTTCAGCGACCAGAGCTGGAATGAATCCTGAGATGACAGAAATCACAATGACGTCCACAAGCCTGGTGTCCTCCACTAGCCTGAGTTCAAAAGGCTAGTCAGCAGGGGACCCGGGTCCTAGTTCAGCCCTGCATCGTCACCCCGGCCTTCTGGTGGGCTGCAAGGGAGGACAATCTCCACAGCGACAGCCTTTCACCTGGCAACCGTTTACATAGTGGAAGACTCAGGACCCATCCAGAAGGACAGACCTCTGACCCCCCAAAATTCAACCACCTGACAGCCCTATGTGGGTGGCTCCCAACAGAAAGGCTTCGCCTGCCCAATTCTCAGTTATTTCTGCCCACACTGTCAGGGAGAACTGTGACGCACGGGAGGAGAGCAACCTCAGAACGAAATAATCCCTTCCCTCCGGGAACTTGTACTCAGAGCAGCCAAACCACCCCGCCCAAGCACGAGGGGCTGATTGGAGCCTGGTGTCCTCTGCTGTCCCTTCCACAGTCTCTGGTGGAAGTGTTAATGACAGGGAAATGGCCAGCAGCAGGAGGGAAAGAGCAAAGGCAGGGAAATAGCCAGGCGATGGTGCAAAAGGCCATAATTAGCTTTCGGATTGCTGCGATTTGAAGTTACTCAAATCTGAGTCATTTTAAAAGGAGGCTCTCTTGAGGGGGACGTTTTCTGGATAGGGAGCAGGGCTAAAAGCAGACGGCTGTGAACATCTCCGCAGCCAGGACCCCTCATCCGTGGGGGTCACAGAGTCCATCCTTCTCTCCCCCCACCGCACCCCCCACACCCCGCGACCACCTGGTCCCTGAGCATGAGCAGCACAGTCCCTCAGTCCCTCAGTCAGATAATTACTGGAGAAGGCGTGTGTGAAGCCAGGGAGGAACCGGGGTCATCTTGCTCAAGCCCACGCAGCATCACACAGGCTGCAGCAGCCTTCACCTTGGCGTAAACCCACAGAACTACACGCTGCTGCTGGCTCCTGGCTGGTTTACACACTCTCCTCTCATTCCAGAAGGCATTAGCCCAGCTCGGACTAGGTGCTATGCTGTTCCATATGGACCACCGCACAAAGGATACAAAAATGTCACGCTCAGCATTAAAGCCGGGGCTCACACTGCTATCTGGTGACCTTCACCACCTCAATCTGAAATGCAGCTTCCTTATTCTGTATACAGCACGGCTGGCGTATTGCAAAAGCCGGTAGATCAGATTCCCCGCCCTCCCCCCACCTCACCCTGACTCTTTATAGTTTCAAAACCCTTCCCAAATAGAATTGAGTTAAAAGAAAATGCTAGTTTGCTCTTTTTCTTGGAGGGGAGGGGAAGGATGAAGGTCTTTAGAAACCAGTTCAGACGAGTTTGAATACAATTAAACAGGTGGCTCCTATCTGCTGTCCGTCCGCAATTTTCAGATTTCTGTTCTAAGCCCAATGTTGCTTCTTCATTCCCACTGATGTGAATAGACTGGAATAGAGCCTGAAAGCCAGTAAGATCCGTTACTTTCCGCTAATGCCCAGGTAATTCTTAGAAAAGCCACTATAGTATCAGAGTACTCTCGATTCATATGTATTGACCTTGAAAACCATTTTAAAAATCTATACTTACCAGCAATAATATTGATGCCCTTATCTAGTTAAAAAATAAGAAGTGATCTGACCTGCTATAGAAAGGGCACGTGACTTTACATTCCTTCTGGGTCTTCACAAGGTCAGGCTCACAAGGTACAGGGAATAGAAGCTTGAAGATGAAGCTCACTGACCCAGGGAGGGATTAACCTCCTGAAAGACGCCTGGTGCTGTTGTTTCCCTGAATAGAGGAGGAGAATTTAGGCACCTGCCTTGGCCAATCTGACTAGGCCCTTCCAATGAATAGATTTTTCAAAGCCTCTCAAACACTCACTGTGTTCAAGCTTCTAGACTAACCACTTCAGGGAAGGCCCTATCACAGGTGTAGACTGACTCTTTGTGTTTAAAGATGGGTTTACAGGGGTTCATGATTTCTATCCCGTGACACACAAAATTACCCTAAGGACCATTTGTCAGAAAACATGACCAAAACCAACAGGGCTCTGAAGCCAGTCTGGGTTTGAGCTCCGAGTCAATCGCCTTACCAGCAACATGGCCAAACTCGAGTTTTTGTTTCCTCATCTGTGACTTGAGAATAAAAACCCCAAATCTTCCTTCACCGGATTGTTGGGGTCAAAAAACTGAGGTCACAAAAATTGTCATGAATCATCGTTCCCTGGCCTTTTTTCTCTACCCCACAACCCTAGCAGTCTCAAGTCTCTCCAAAAGGAATTTGGAAGCAGCCAGAGAGAAGGGGTTTCCATGTGATTCTTGGCCTCTTGGATCTTCTGCGACATCCACCTTCGTCTGCCTCTCCCGTTGCTGCTGGCATCACAGGCAAATGCCATGCTGCCATCTCCCAGGGACAGCATCACTGTGGCTCATACACACATCCAAGGACAAAGTCTCTGCTATTGTTAGAACTTCTGGGGCCAGTGCTGAACTGGACCAGTTTTGCTTTTGCTCCTTCTGCTGGCTGAGCAGGAAGGTGGTCCAGGGACAAGACACAGGGCCCACATTCAGGCTTGCCCCTTTATTGTGCTCACCCCGACATGTGACCTTCATTCTCCAATCCCGAGAGACGAGAAAGAGAGCAGAGATTCCTTCCTACAGACTAACTCAGACACACCAGGATCCCATGAGCTAGACCTCGTTTCTCCTGACTTCCCAGTGTTGAATGGAGTTCTAAGCACAAAGTAGGTGCTCTGTAAATGCCTGTGGAAGACGTGAATGAAGCCGGTCACCTCCTCTCCTTTATGCGTGACAAAGTACACAGAGATGAAAGCAATCGTGATGTGTCATGTGACTCACTCCATCTTGCCGTGGTCAAAAAAATCAGCCAGGGCATTCTTAGAGTTTAAACGAGTTCGTCATGCCTCACATTGTTCCTGGTGTGAAAAAGTAATGGAAAGGGTCAGGTTTGGGATTTCTTGTTTGTTGGTTAGCTTTTTGTTCCCTTTTCACCTACCTTTAGTTCCTTCCTTCTTCCCTGATGTATTGTTGGTCTTGGATCTGAACTCCTTACCTAAAGGAATGTGTGGCATCCTTTCCTGCCAGACTGCAGACCCAGGGAACCAGCTACTGCCTACCACAGAACTTGCTTGTGCTTTCATTCCATACAAATGGTGCCGCATTGTTGTGCCAAGTGAGATCTCATTCATCTTTTGAATGCCACCTCCGAGGAAGTTTCTCTAACACCCTCATCCCTACTCCCATTTGGACAACGAATGGTCCCCTCTGTGTTCCCAGAGTTGTTTTAGTCCCCTGACTGGTGTAATGCCAGTCATCTAATAATTACTCATGTGTTTGTCTCATTGGCCAGATTTTCAGTTCCCCAAGGGCAGGGAGTATGTCTTACTCACGACTATCACCAGAGCCAAGCGCACGATAGATACTCTCTAGCTGTGTGTCATAAGAAAATCTTTGAAAAAAAGACAATTAAAAATCAGCAGAAATATATCTGATTCATACCCATCCTTTCCTTCTCCCCTCCACACTCACAGACACGTCCGTACGAACCACAGACACGCATAACGTGAGCATGCCTGCGGTGTGTTTCTGGTCAGACTGTGTCCATTGCAAACACCCAAAACATTTCAGATCCAGAGAGTAAATCCCTCTTCTCAGACGAGCCCTTCGCATTCTCCCTGTTGCGGAGAGGCTCTGTTTTTATCTGTGCTCTTACAATTAGAACACCTGCTCCTTCACATCTCTAAGTCCCACTTCTCCCTTTTCACACTTGTTGTAGTGCAAATTAAAGAGGACACATTTGGCACCATACAGGAAATAAATTAAAAAAGACTTCAGAATTTGGGACCAACCACCATTCAATTAGTAGGCTGGATACTCCAGGTGATCTAGAGATAAGAAATGAGAAGTTTGGGGGGTCACTGGCTTTTCACAGAAGATGAACTTTGGGCTCTTTGGCACAGGAGTTTCTGTACCAATGACCTCTTGATGAAGTTCATGTTCAGTGCTCAAAATACCCTTTCCTATCACTGTGTGGTATTTGCATTTGCATATTGTATTTTAATATAATGGTATTTGGGCTAAATAAAATTTATTTATTGTGACCTTTTTTTGTTATACTGTACAAATCATTATTCAATAGGAAAATTACCTACTTTTTTTAATCATGGTAGACAAATTATTTTGCCATTCAGGAACTCTGAAATTCTCTCATGAGTTCCTAATATATGTCTAAGAATATATTCTTTTGTTCGAGGTTCATCTGATTGCATTCAACTCCAGCTCAAGAAGAGCAGAGATTTTAAAATATGAAAAAAGAGTGAATCTGATAGACATTTGCACACAAGAACCAAAGTATAACCCTGGCTTTGTTGGCTAGATTTGGCCCCTGAGCTGGAATTTCTAATCCCTGCTATAGATGATTCACAGGGAGTTTGACAGTGATATTTAGGAGTGACATAGACAGGAACACCAAGAATTACTCATTCAAACAATAAGTTTTTAGTACAAAGGTATCACATGATCCAAGTAGAGAATCCAGATATATAAACATAAGAAAATAAATATTTTTAATTTAATTACTCAGAAAAAAAGCCCCATATGAAGACTCATTTTAGTATCATGTAAATATTATTAATAATAGATGTAAAAGCAGTAAAATGCTGGTAGATGTTTATCAACTGCTCTCTGACAGATAAAACCAGACTAGATGTGTAGCATTTTCTGATTTCTGGAGTGTAAATAACATCACATCATGATTGATTTCAAGCTACCAACAACACTTCAGCAACTGGCTTAGAAAATTCCTGAAGTCTTAACAGTCAACACTTGCAAACCATTTTGGGACATGAAGGGTAGTTCTACCTTTTGTTATTAGTACCAATAATGCAATGCACATTGGTCTTTGTCCACACTGTTGTTGCCTTTCAGATAGTTTCCCAAAACTGGAGTTTCTGGGTCAAAACTATCCAGCATTGAAAGCCTTTAAAATGTACTTTCAAATGTTCATGTAAAAATTTCTCTGTAGTAATGGGTGTTTAGTTTAGTTTTGCTGTGTTAGTTTTGCTGAAAATCCTTCTTAGTTTTGCTGAAACTAGTTTTGTTAGTTTTGCTGAAATCCTTGCCAATACTGGGTATTTGAAATAATTATTCAACAACATGATAAGCTCCAAAGGGCATATTGCTATTTTCAAACTTTCTTTTATTTGCTTATTTTCATTTAAGATAATTTTTTTCATATCTCTTGGCTAATTATATTCTTTTGTGTAAATTCTGTTCAAATCTTTTGCCATTTTTTCAGTAGGTGATCTCTGTGCTATTGATCTTTGAGATGTGAACTTTGAGATATCAATTATTTTTCTACTGCATATGTTGCAAGTGTTTTTCCCTCTCTTAGGCGCTTTAATTTAATTTGTAAAGATTTTGCTTTATAGAACTTTTACATTTATCTGTAGTTGGCACTACCAGTTTTTTCCTTTTGATTTCTGCCTTTGATATTTTATGTAGAAATATCTTCATTCTAAAGAATATAAATGCATTTATACTACATATTTTTATAACATATGAAGAGTATAATAGTATAAATATATTTGTTAATAATTTTGGTGCACTTTTAACTTTTTTATAGTTAAATATTTAATTAAGAATTTATTTGAGGGACGCCTGGGTGGCTCAGTGGGTTGGGGCCTCTGCCTTCGGCTCAAGTCGTGATCCTGGGGTCCTGGGATCGAGCCCCACATTGGGCTCTCTGTTCCATGGCAAGCCTGCTTACCCCTCTCTCTCTGCCTGACTCTCTGCCTACTTGTGATCTCTGTCTGTCAAATAAATAAATAAATAAATCTTTTTAAAAAAAAAAAGAATTTATTTGAATGTGAGATAGAGATCTGATTTTTTTTCCCCCAGACTGGTCTCAAAACCAGTTACTGACCAATTAATCATTCAGGGAGTACTTGGGAAATCTCTTTTATTACATAATAATTTCTTATATACTTTAAAGAATTGTTTGCACTATTCATTGGATTATTTGTTTTTTTGTTGGGTTGTGGGAACTCATAGTGACTACAATTAACAATATCATATTATATATTTGAAAGTTACTAAGAGAATAAACCTTTAAAGTTACCATAAGAAAAAATTTGTAACCAAATGAGGTGATGGATGTTAACTATACTTATTATGGTAATTATTTTGAAATATGGACATGTATCAAATCATTGTTGTACACCTTAACTTATACAATATTATATATCAATAATACTTCAATAAAGCTGAGAAGAAAGAAAAAACAATGTATCATCTCCATATTTAAGAATATAGTATCTCTCTGTATTTACGTATTTGTTGGTTTCAAATAATAAATTTTGTGCTAGGAAGTTGTCTTTAATTGAAGGTAGTACAAAACAGCTCATATATATTAGAATAGTGATAAATATTAGAATAGTT